TCACGCCAATTTGCCCTCGCTACCGATGCTTCTCTGGTAGCACCGGGGCCGTACTCCTCCAGACGGACGAAATGGCGTCTACCATCCCTGTGAATACATTTCCCAGTCCTTTAACCCCGCCGAACGCAACTACGAAATCTTCGAGCGAGAACTGCTCGCTATAATTCGTGCGCTAAACGAATGGCGTCATTATGGAAGGAAACCCTCACCATCCTCGTTTTCACCGACCACCTGAACCTCCTTTACTTCTCCAAAGCACAGAAGCTTTCTCGGAGACAAGCACGTTGGCAGCTTGTCTATCAATTATGACCTGAATTACACCACGTCCCTCGGAACAAAGCTCTGCCGCACCTGATGCGCTCTCTCGACGCCCGGATCACGGCCTTGGTGAACACGACAATGAGGATCGCGTACTCCTTCCTGACTCCATGTTTATCCGGATTACTCGACGAAGAATTCTCCACCGCCTCGCCACGAATTCCTTGGATGACCCCATTTTCTCCACAAGCCAGTGACGCTTTGGATGGACTCTGTTTGCCCCCATATGAAAATCAGCCCTCTCTGACTGGAAAATATTGGACGAGGTGCTTTATTATAAGTCTCGCGCCTATGTCCCACCCTCGCACCGGACGGCCGTATTGCTCCGACACCATGACCACCCTACGGCCGGTCACCCGGGACGGTTTAAAACTGAGGAACTGGTCAAGCGTGACTACTGGTGGCCTGCAATGGGCACCTTTATTCGCTCCTATGTCGCCGGATGCGCTCTCTGTCAACAAATGAAAGCCGACACTCACCCTGTCTCGCCTCCCCTCGTTCCCATTCCCTCCTCTGCTACTCGCCCTTTTTCTCAGGTCTCTGTTGACCTTGTCACCGACCTCCCCGTGTCCAATGGTTTTGACTCCCTCATGGTCGTGGTAGACCATGGCCTTATGAAGGGGGTGATTATTTCTCCCTGTAACAAGAACATCTCTTCCGAGGGAGTTGCTAAAACTATTTTTCAAAAACGTATTCAAACGTTTCGGACTCCACGAAAAGGTGATCTCTGATCGAGGCACCCCAGTTCGTTTCTAGGTTTCTCTAAAGAATTAGCACGCCTCTTGGGATACCAGATCGCTGCCTCCACAGCATATCACCCTCAGACCGATGGACAAACTGAACGGCTCAACCAAGAGATAGAGACATATCTCCGAATATACTGTAGAAGTAACCCCTATGAATGGTCGAACCATTTACCCCTCGCTGAATTCGTGCACAACCACCGAAGACATGAAGCTAGGAACGCATCGCCGTTCTTCCTCATGATGGGATACGAACCTCGCAGTATTCCCCACGTATACCATCATCGGATACCCCCGCCGTAGAAGAGAGGGTTCGCACCCTCCAAAAGATCAGAGAAGAAGCCATCTCTTGCCACAATATCGCCATGCAACGAATGGCGGAAAGGACGCACGGAAAGAAGTACCAACCATGGAAGATAGGAGATAAGGTCTGGCTATCTGCAACCAATCTCATGACTACCCTCCTGTCTAGGAAACTTGCGCCCAAACGGCATGGACCATTCCCTATAATCGCAGTCTTATCGCCAATCACGTTCACCTTGAAACTTCCTGAACAATGGAAGGTTCACCCCACGTTCCATGCTTCCGAACTATCCTCCTATCAGGAGACAGAGATTCACGGACCGAACTACGAAGAACCACCTCCAGATATAGTCAATCAATCGGAGGAATACGAAGTCGAAGCCGTCCTGAGTCATAAGGGCATGGGTAAACGAAGACGCTATCTCGTATCCTGGAAAGGATGCTCTTCTGGAAGCAACGAATGGATTCCAGCGGAGAACATGGAAAACGCCGGGGACCTACTTTCCGCCTATAAGAAGAGGCACAAGTTGAACTGAATCGACCAGTCCCCACCAACATACGAACATGTCTTCTCAACAAACTGCCTCCCCTACTGAATCCAATGTCTCTTCCATCAGCCTCTATGAGTCCCCCTTCGCCGACAACGTTGTTAGCATTGAAGACGACGTCATCGTCGAGACCACCATCCTTTCCGTCGCCCACGCCCTCGAAATCGAAACTTATCTCAACAACCAGCCAGCAGTGCCAGCTGGAGTCGCTGCCACCTACTATCCATATCATTAGAGCCACCCAACGCCTCGAAGAAGAATTTGCCCAGATTGAGAACGACGCCCTCCGACTCTCCTGCAACCACGTCCAGCGGCGCATTCGCTCGCTTACGCTCCAGCTATTCCCTCTTGGTTTTAGCACTATCTGTAGGGAAATTATACAGACTGTTGCTGATCGAAACTCCTTCCAAGTCAGCCGCCCGTTGCCTCCTATTACTCACAATCCCCCCGCTGTTCTACCTGATCCAACTTCGATTGGAGGGAACATTGCACCGATACCTGTACCTATCCCAGCGTCCAACGAGTCCTATAGAAGAAACCTCCGCGGAGGAGCCGCCATTCACGGCGTAACTAAGAAGAAATCATCCAAAGGAAAGAACGCGAGGTCATCGACCTCACTATAGAACCCCCCTCTATCTCGTCCTCCAGCATCGCTATTCAAATCCCCCTCATTGAAACAAATAGTCGGTACTATCGCCGACGCCAACTTCATTTGCCGAGTCTGCAAGAAGCTTGGTCACAAGCACAAGAACTGCCCCTTGTACTATTGCCGCGTTTGCGGCGACACGAAACCCGGGCACTTCTCCATTTACTGCCCCTTCACCACCACCAAGATACTATTCCCGTTGGTCTATACCGACGAAGGCTTCTACGACGCGTTAGCCGCGTGGGAAGCAGAGAAAGATAAGAAAGAGGAAGAGGACCTTGCGCGCGCCGATAGGGAGTACTTGGCGCAGCCAGAAGAATTAGAATTCCACAATGCCGACGCCGACCCCATCTACTACGAGAACCAGGACAACTAGTGATGTCGATGCCGGTGACATCGACCATAACACGGGGGTAATGTTACGGTATATTCATTCTCTTCGCTTCTCTTTCGATACTGGACAATGGTACATGCACACGGCCCTTAACGAACGACCAATCACCTTCCAGAACCTCACTCATATCATCGCCAAGCTAACCTTCCGTACTAGTAACCATCACTATGTTTAGCTCACTATCTCCTATCAAGCGGGCTGTCCGCACCATGGTTACTATCTCTATCTGTTATCTCTTATCACTTACCAAGCGGGCTGTCCGCCTTCTATCTTGATACGCATTTACAAGCTCCGCTTGAACTCTACGCTATATAGTTACATAGCGTACCACATGTATTTCCTCACTTTAATCTACTGGGTTTTACCTGGAACAAGTCCTTTAGCAAGGTCTCCAACCTTGCTATCTAGAACCACTATTCTAAGGAAGTCGCCGATACTTGCCTTAGCCAGAAACCTTTGACCTCTCACTCGAGAGAAGAACCACGTCTGTCTCGCCGAATCTCAGTCCACTCGGACTAAGACAGCTCGACATACCCCAGTCGTAACAGCGAGACTTTCTGCGGCTGAAATGCCGATGGGCGGTGTTCTGGACGGGGCAGACCATCATCAGTGTAGTGGTCCTCATGAACGATAGAATATTCACGAGCATTGGAGGTCTGTTGTTGAGACCGACGATCCTGAATAGTATCTCCAAGCTGCCTTCCTCCCGAAGGAGCGCCAACATTCGAACCACGTATTGATGTTGCTTCCTTGTACTTTTGAAGCAACCCTTTAGGGATGGAGTGCTTGAATTTCTCGGAGTCTGTGAGTTTCCGGAGAACGATGTGGGAAGCGCTGGTGACCAAAGGAATGTCAAACATTTTAGGGTCGTCTTTTTCACATTGCTCGATGTGATCTGCAGCAACAACATTAGACATGAAAATGAACAGGGCAATAAGTACCTTTCGGCCAAGGAACAATATCAATCTCAGACACAGCGACGTCCAACTCGTCAATGATATCATCAAGAGTTTTATCGCTGCGTCCTTGCTTGCGCCGAAGTTCGAGTAAGTTCTCAGCTTCCGTCTTCAGTTCGGCGTCATAATATTGCAAAGCCCTGCGCTTGATGTAAGGCACAACGAGTAACTTCAGGTGTTGTGCGCTGAGGGTGTGGTAGTTGAAGTCCAGGCCAACCGGGGGAACTTCGTCAGGCCAGAGTTCAAATTGAAACTTGTTCTGGTATGCAACGTCGAGTAGGCTTCCGCCACTGGACAGACTTCGTTTTATAGCCGAATTGTTCTGTTGAATAAACTTGAAATCGAGTCATGGACGGGAATAAGTCGAGCTTACCTAGTTTCTCAAGCACCATGACCGGCCAGATACGTCGGTGGTAACGGTCCCATGGGGCTTCACCAGGCTTCGAAAACAAAATATCATATGCCCCTCCAAACCGCAGCATTGCAAAGCTGGTAGTTTTTTGCCCTGGACACATTGTAAGATTAAACTCAGAGTAGTTTCCAAGCTATGTACTTTCGCTGCAGTAATAATCCAATCTAACGCAAGTTGGGCGTCCACTTGGCGTTCATTGATGAGATCCATGAACGTGGATGAGCCTGCAACAAAACCCGAGGCCTGTTGGGCCGCTGAAGGTTCAACGATACAGCGAGGCACGAACAATGCTCCTGGTTGTATCTATAAATGTTGTAAGGTCGCGCGTTGCCTAGTCTGCTATACTTGAGACGACAAGTGCGTTCGACCCTAAAGGGGAAGCAAGTGCAGCAAGGATCTAGAGGTATGTGCTGAAAGCGCTACTGGTTGGCCAATGCGAAGCGTGGAAAGCGCAGGTGCGCGCGAGGCGCGAGAATGCGCGAAGTGCGGGAATGCGCGCGCGTGTATGCGGAAACAAGTGAGAGTAAGAGTGAGTTTGCTTAGGTGATGATATGATGTAAGACAAGAGAAGGGAGATGCAAGGTGTAAACAAATAGATTTATACTATGTTCTGCTAGGTAAATAGTGGGTAGTAACCAGTAAGTCCTCTGTCGTTCTGGTGGGAGAGTAAGTCTGTAAGTAAGTATGTACTGCTGGCGCTTAAGTATGGCGCCTAAGCGCTGTTATGCGGAGCCGAAGCGCTACCGAGTAAGGTATGTAAAGATATATGTAAGTAAGGGTCCATGATAAAAATAAAGATGGAACGATATGCAAATGTGAGAAATGGAAATATACGCACTAGGGAACTTGGTGGACAGTGGATGGATGCTTCCGGATGGCTGGCGCTATAGGGCGCTACAGCGCGGGAAAGCGCGCGCGCATATACATCGTGAAGCGTGGGAAAGGTACGCGCGCATGGCGCGCGTTGCGCGGGAAAGCTGCGCCTCATATAGAGATAGCTGCAGGTAGCACACAGAGTGATGCTACAAGTTCGTGCCATGTACTCCCCAGTGAAAACTGCCATATTGCACAATGAGAGGCATGAGTCTCTACACCGCCTCATCAGGAGTCGAATCAAAGACACAGCCAATGACCTCAATGCCTTCTAGGCGAGAATAAGCTGCAAACTTTACAACAGTAAGCCATAATACAAACAAGTACTGTCAAAATAATTACACGCTTAGCGAGTGCGTCCCTTGGAGACATAATAATACTGGCACGCGATCGATTGTTACTAGCACCGCCCAAGTGACAATCATAGTACATTTGTATGTCATCCCACAGCGGGTCGCTGTCTTCAAGGCTGTAGTAGTGGTTGCGCTGTCTCTTTCTCCAATTAACAAGTTCTACCAGAGGATATTGGTTATTATGGGCACCACAACATGAAATAAAAACTCACCTTCATCCGTTTCTCGAGGATATTGTCCTTTGTACCATCCTTGGTGCATGTTCCATGGGGTCTCGGCCCTGGAGTGTTTCACAGACAACCTGGCCTCGATGAGGATTGTATGTGCAGATTTTCCATATTTGTCCCCAATTATCTTGGCAGCATGAAGTGTCTTGCGCCCCGAGCTCCTGCACGTCATCTATGCCTTCCTGGCACAGCTGCCCAGGTCTAGAAGTGATGGGAAGGTCATTGTCGTCATCATCAATCTCCATTGACATGGAGCTTTTTGGCAGAGCACTGGAGACGGCACTCTTCTCGACCGACTTTGTCGTCACATGCATGGCAGCCTGGAGTACCTGGGTGGTCAAGGAAGTCTCTGTTACTGTGGATTTTGGGGAGAGAGCTTTTGGAGGTGCACGCTTCTTGGGCAACTTCGCCTTTGATGGAGGTGCAGGTAAGTTGTCGTCATCTTCTTCTTCTTCTTCTTCTTCTTTTTCTTCATCGGCTTCTTGATCTTCTTTGTATTCATCATCATCTTTGTCAGACTCCTCTTCTGAAGAGGAATGATCACGCTGAGCAAGCATTGCACGGCATTCAGCCCAACTCCTTGCTTGTCGGTTTTGGTACGGGTAGTTGTTCTCCGAGGAAGGGGTGCCATTCAAGGAAGAGCCTTCATCCTCTGGAGTATCGGAGGGGGGTAAGGATTCTGGGAGACGAAAAAAGGACTGTGAGTGAAAAGGATTGATGGGAGATGGTGGTACATACCATGAATTTTGGTATCATCTACAGGATTGCCCTTGTGAGCATCCGCTTGTCCTTCACTGTTGTCCTCATTGTCTGTGACAGGGTCATCAGTCTTGGGGTGGTCTTTGTAAAAGTCATGTCAGTGGGTGGTTACTCAGTTTGTAGTGTGGCTGCCCATACCTTGGGTATCAGACTCAGTGTCAGTGCGCGGCTGTGGTAGCAACGGAGGATTTCGCGCGCCGGGCAAGGATGGTGCTGTAGTCGTCGAAGTTCATGAACGAGTTCCCCCTCAGCAAGGGGGCAGGTTTGATTCTTTTGGCGGGTGGCAGTGACTGGGGTGTCATTATCACATTAGTAAATGGACGAAAAGGATGGAAGGGATGCCTACCGTTTTAGTTTGAAGCTATCCAAGATGACAAATATCAATGTCTTTGATAAATAAAATTCAAATTCAAATAAATGTACCATGCGTTGGTTGATAGGCACACCACTGTGGGTACGCATCATGAAGTCGACGACTGGAGTTTCCATCCGCAGGTTAGCGCACTTTTTGGTGGAAGAAGTTTTTTGGGAGGCATGGCAGAGGGAGCTTGACAAATTCTTGATTCAAGAGATCTATGGAAACGAATATTAACAGAAAGGAGCTTGAAGAACACGAAGTCCTCAAATATTGACAGAAAGAAGCTTGAAGAACATGAAGTCCTCAAATATCGACAGCAAGGTGCTTGAAGAACACGAAGTCCTTTTCAGCGGCCAAGAAGACACGAAGTCTCACAAACAGCGAATGCAAGTAAAAACTGATGTAGGAGTAAGTTAGAACAATATACAAACGTGATGGAGACTTCTAACCTACCTGACTTTCAAGCAAATTCTCAAGACGAGAAGGAAAATACCGTAGTGAGAA